CAAGTCACTTAATTGGCTTAGGAATTCAGTTGGGAGTGAGGAAGGGCACACAACCCTCCATGTAAAACACGGTTGCTTACTTTAAAATTTGGAATTTATTTAACTTATTTAAAATGAATTTGAATTAGAGGATTTAATTGATTTGATTGTAAAAGAAATGGTTGGAAGTGAAAGGTTTCGAAAGTTAATTTTAGATCTAACCGAATTACTTCAAACATCTTAGGCAAAATTGAATGTAATTGGAAGTTTTGGGTCAAATTGAAATCATTTGAAACTAGAAGGATTGATTTCGAATAAATTAAAAACCTAAGGACTAACTGATAAAGTAAGAAAGATTTTGGGTTAAATTAAGATTTTGAAAATAGAATGAGGCTTATTTGAAAATAAACAAGATTGATTCATTTAAAACCCTAAGCATTAAATTGATAAATAATACAACTATGTTTCACATGGAGAATTGTGAGGAGCATGCATGGCCTTCTTCACACCTAATCGCATCCCTAGACTTTGATCTCTGTGCATATCATGTTTAGGTGTCTCACCACGCTTTATAACTTGAGGGAGTAACAACTCCTTGCTTTCACATTTCGTACTTAATTTCCAATCCATTTTTTAATTTGAAGAGTTGTTTACGATCACTTAAAAATTTCAAAATATGAGAATAATGAAAAATTAAGAGTGAAAAATGTAAAAAGAAAAAAAAAAAGAAAAAAGGAGTCACCACTTTTCCAAATTATAAGTGGGGCAAGTCACCTAAATTATGGTCTATGCAAAGATTGAGGTCTGAGGGTATGGTTAAGAGTGAGGAAGGATATATGCGCACCTCACAATCCTCTGCGTAAAATAAGGTTGCAAACTTTAACATTTGGGATTTTAATTCAACTCATTTTTTCTTTAGGTCTTAATTAATTAAGGTTTGGAAAGTAAATGGTTGATAGCGTAACATTTCAAAACTTTTTGGACTGATTTGAGCAACTCAAGAACTGGCATCTACATTTGCAACAAATTAAAGCTGTGGGACTGATTTGATTAAAATTTGAAATATGAAGGACTAATCTAAAATTATTTAAAACTCATGGACCAAATTGCTCAATCATGCAAGTTTTGGGTTAAATTAAAATAGGTTAAAGTATCAATTTGGTCCCTCAACTTTCCACTTTGGCACCAAAATTGTCCCTCAACTTTAAAAAGTACCAAATTTATCCTTAAACTTTCATTTTCGATACCAAAACGGTCTTTCCATCAGTTAATTGACAGGTGACATGTTAACTTGCCAGCAAATCAATTCTTTTTTTGCTTAACTAATGACTTGGAAAAAAAAAGTATAGTTGGCCATTTTTTTTTATGAGTTGGCATTTTCATTTAATTTAAAGATAATAATTTTTTTCTCCTGCGTCAGATTTCTTCTTCCTCTTTCATTTTCTCTCTCCTTTACCTCTCCTTTTCTTTTACCTTTGCAAACCCTGGCTTTGGGTTTTCTCAAACGACCGAGAAGCATGTGATGATCATTGCCATCGATGACAATGAGCACAGTGCCTACGCGCTGGAGTGGACAATGCTACTACTACCGTTGGCCTTCTTCTTTTTCTCTCAAACCTGGATCTGGGTTTTTCTCAAACGGCCGAGAAGCATGTGATGATTGTCGCCATCGACGACAGCAAGCACAGCACCTATGCGTTGGAGTGGACGATGCTACTACTGCCGTCAGCCTTCTTCTTCTTCTCTCAAACCCAGATTGGCCCGAGAAGATGATAGGTCTGCAGCTGTGACTTGTGTCATCAAATCCAACCGACAGTGAAAGTTGTCGAAAATGGAGACCGAGGCACCTCCGTCACCACCACCTCCGTAGTTGCCTTCTTTTAGGAGAGACGATACCGTTCAATCTTTGACCTTCTAGACAACTTCTTTGACTCATGTTGCTTACTCTCCCCATCTCTCCCAACTTTAGTGTTCGAGCCTGATAACTAGTGGAGAATAAGGTATGTTTTAGCTTTAATTTGTATTTGATGTTTTCGATTGACTTTTGGATCTCTTTGAACTAATTTTAGCTGAGTTAGAACCTATGTATTGGAGATATTGTGGTGAGTTTATTGGGTTTGGTACATCGAGTACAATGTTTTGTTTCCGATTTTTTATCTACATTTGGAGATATGAGATAATTATTGAAGTTACAGAGATATTTTATGTGTTTCTCGTGGTTACTTTTTAGTGTTTGGAATAGGGACTACTATTCACTGATTGTGAATTTGGGGGAAAGTAAAACCCTAGAATTTTGCTTTTGAGTTTTGGTGCATTACTTTACCATAGATGAGTTTGGATGGCTTTGTCGCTTATATTTAATATAATGAAATGATTTGTATTGTTTTTTTTTATTATCATCAATTTCATTAGATTGTTAATTTATGTGATGAAACCCAGATCTAGGTTTGAGAAAGGAAGAAGAAGGAGAGGAAAGAGAGAGAATAAGAAGAAGAATACAAAGAAGATGAAGTTTGAGAGAGTATCCAGGACCGGGTTTGCAAAGGTTAAGCGAAAAGGAAAGGTAAACGAGAGAGAAAATGAAAGAGGAAGAAGAAATCTGACGTGGGTGAATAAAAAAAAGCAATTATTATTTTTAAATTAAATGAAAATGCCAACTCATAAAAAAGATGGCTAACTATACTTTTTTTTTTCCCATGTCATTAGTTAAGCAAAAAATAGAATTGATTTGTTGGCAAGTTAACGTGACACCTGTCATTTAACTGACGGAAGGACCATTTTGGTACCGAAAATTAAAGTTTAAGGATAAATTTGGTACTTTTTAAAGTTGAGGGACAATTTTGGTGCCAAAGTGGAAAGTTGAGGTACCAAAATGGTACTTTAACCAATTAAAATAGAATAAAAGATAATTTTGACCTTTTAAACTTTGACTTTGACTAAGAAAAATGGGAAATTTAAAATCAATTAATTGCAATAACTAGTTTAATTAAATGATTAATTTAGCCTTAATCAAGATTAATTAAAATAAATTAATCACATCCATTAGACTTTAATTAAAATAATTAGACAAATCTAATTACTTTAATTAAGACCAATAAACAAAATTAATTTAGTCTATAATTAGCATTAATTAATTTTGCTAACCACACATTAAATATGTTTTGAAAGTTGGGTGACTGAATTGGGAGAAGAAATGTTGTTTTCAGAGACCTAAATGAATGAATTTGAAGTTATGAGATCAAAGTGCTCATCATATAGATGCTGGAGGGCTAGATCTGCAATTTTACCATTGAAGAAATGGCTAATCCAAAAACCGGAATTAGGTTTCGCATCGGATGTTGTCTCTATGCGCTATGCCTTTAGAAAAGGTTAAATGTCAATTTTGGTCTTTCAACTTTAGATTTTACACAATTTTGGTCCCTTAACTTTTTATACTTTTTTTTGTCCTTCAACTATGAAAAATACACTTTTTTAGTCATTTGGTTAATTCATCCGTTAAGTATGTCTAAATATGCACATTTTTAATCCCTCAACTTATAATACATGCATAATTTTTGTCCCTCAACTTAAAAATTAATGAACTAAAAATGTGCATATTTGGACAAAGTTAACGAATAAACTGATGGAATGATTAAAAAAAGTACATTTTGTATAATCAAGGGATCAAAATTCACATTCAATCTTTGGAAAGTAGGCATCGGTAAACTAAATAGAAGTGTCAATACCAACATTGTTGTGTCATCACTGTAAACACTTTCAGCTTTTAAGAGTTCCCTTTTTCGTCGCGGGTCCTACTTTTCTAATAGAGTTTCCTAGACTCTATAAATGCCTATTCAAAACCAGACTTTGGGGTTCTTGGAGAGCAAGAGAGACGGCAACGCATAACTCAACATCAAAAGAAGATTGAGGGTTGAAATTTTATATCGTCAAGCTAGTATTATTTGCCCTTAAATTAGATTTTATTTTACAATGTCAAATACTCTTATGTTTATCATGAGATATTTGATTTTATTTTATTTTATTGTAACCTAATTTAGTCATTCAAGGCTATGATGTAGCCTAGTCAATTTGCTATAGAATTTTGTGATTTTTATACTTTGAAGGCTTAACGTTTCATTTAGAATATATATTATTGTTCTTAATGCATTTAGTGATTGGCCACTATTAAAATTGATTTGGAGAACATAATTGAAACTGAGAGGAGATTTTGTGCAATAGATTCTAGTTATAAGTATCATGAATTGAACGAAAAATAGAGATAGACCAACGTGATTCATGTAGCACTGGGGATAAGTGGACTTAATTTGCTACGTAAATTAGGGAATTTCAAAGGACATAATGGATCTTTATTGATTAAATTCACATAGAGATATGGTGGTTTAATAGGTGGAGATAGTTTCGGTATAACTCAAAAAAGTATATAGAATAGGATACGAAATCTCGCTGTCACATTAGTAATAAAGACCTTGGAAATATATTAATAATCTAAATTTTATATTAGTTGATTGTGGTAAAATCAGATGCCTTAAAATTCCAACTCTTGGTGTCACTCAAAGTCAATTTAGTTTCTATTTAATTAATTTAATTAACTAGTTCATTTTAATTGTTCAAATAAAATTGAAGTTAGTTAATTTTGATATTGAATTAGTCTATACACTACTAGAATTTTGTTTTTTTTCTAGTGCCCATTTTCCAGTGTAGGAATGCGCTGGCAAATAATGAACTATTTTGCAATGCAATGCGCTGGAATTTGCCTCAATATTTGGGTGAAACAATTATTTTCCACTGGTCAATGCTGGAAAATAATGATGTGCCAAAAAAAAAAATTTCGTGCGTTATTATTTTCCAACGTTAGTCACTGGAAAATAATAAAACTATTAATTATTTAATTTATAAAAAGATAAATGGAATTGGTCAAAAGATTTTTCGGCGCAATACGCTGGAAAATAAGAATATAATGTTGATGGTTAATTGCATTACCATGTTTTCCAGCAATGTGCGCCGTAAAATAAGTAAGCTTACAACCAAAAAAAGTCCTAAGCCCAACAAAGCACCCCAGCCCAACAAAACCCCTCTCCTTCCTGATCTCCGTTTTGGCTTTCACAAATTTAGCCATCTCCGCCGTGCCCCAAGCTGCCCACTCTGTTTTTGGGTCAATTCTTGCCGTTTGGTCACTGGGAAAGGTACGTTCGATAAGATTCCAGCCTGTTTGTGTATTTTTCTCCCTTTTTTTTTTTTCAATTTGTTGACATTTTTTTGGCTTAGCAACACCAATTGACACCGTTGTTTTGCCTCCCCATCGATCAAACTATTCCTAGCATAAATAAGATCAAAGCTTGCTCCTTTCTTTGATTTTCAGGTAATCTTGTTCAATTCTCTAGTACTTTTAACTTTTTGGATTGTTGGGTTTGATCTCAAGATGGATTTTGGTTTCTTTGGCCATGCAAATTGGTTTTGTTAGTTCTGTGAGTTTTGTTTGTAACTTTCTGGGTCATTTATGTGAGTTTTTCTTCACATGGATGGGATTTGTTTGCTGGTTTGATCTTAAGATGCGTTGTGTGTGTTTTGGCCATACAAATTGGATTTTTTGGTTTTGTTAGTTTTGTTAGTTTTATCTGTAACTTTTGGTTTCATTTATATGAATTTTTCTTCACTGGAGTTGGCCTATGACTTTTATTTTGGTGGATAGTGTTTTGGTATTGATGAAAAAGTAGTATCAAAAGTTATTGAATTGGTACCACATGGTCCACTAGTTAATAAGGAAAAATAAAGAAATAAATAATTTTAGAGATTTATTAATAGAAAAAAAAGGCAGTACAAAATAAATAAATGTAAAAGCAAAGATGAGGTTTTCCCTCATCCTACGTGTGCTAGTGTTTGTGTTGTATGTGTACTCTGCGTTCTTTTTTTGTATTTTTACTTTTTATAAAGGAGATATAATGAAATTGAAATAAATAAATCACAAATTATGTATCTTCACTATCATTTTTTTTAAAGACTATAATGTGTCATCTGTATATGAATTTACCTACTATTAAAATTCAAAATTTATGCAATATAAGACTGTTAAGGTAATTTGCCTACTGTTATTGATAGCTGTAAAATTGGAAGAAATTGTTAAGGTAATAGTTCAATTACATTGTTAGTTCTTTTCTATTTAATTTTGCATAAAACTCGGTCTTCACAAACAACTAGTTGTTGAATAACAAATTGCTATTTAGTCATTGAAGTACAAATAATAATTTAAAAAAAGATACTAATAGTTGATTAAGCCAAATTTGTCAATTAATAAATTATTTACTGAAATATGTAATCTAAAATTATATAAATTAAACTTTTTAGAATAATAATAATAATAATATAAACAACCATGTACCCCGGCAAAGGGGGTGGGTCAAGCTTGTTAGAGTGAAATTTGCTCATCACCAAAGTCACGATGTAGACAAAAGTTTATACAAAATAG